TTCTAGGTGATGCCAGGGAGGCCCACAAAAAAGCAGGGAGCTGGGAGAAAAGTAAATCCTGCTCCCTGTGTTTGGGACAGCACTGCTCTTGGGTAGGAGCCAGGCTCTGTCCCGAGTGGAGCTCACGGGGCGGAAAATTATTCGAGAAAAAGTGGCCGGGCTGCCCTCAGTCCCGTCACGAGGTTTGGAGGAAGCCGCTGGCGCGTGACCCTCTCCTGGCATGGAGAATCGGGGCACTGCCACCGGTTTGTTGCCTCCCCGGTGAAAGGGAAGCGCCCGCTCGGTGCTGCCTGCCGCTCAGCAAAAGGGACGGGACCGTCCTTGGCAGCTTTCCCTGAGGCCGCAAGCAGTGTCGTGGGTGGGAGATGGAAACGGTGCTCAGGTTTGGAAGGAAAGCAGTAAATATCATGGAAATGCCTCGTTTAGGCACCACGCTGGGGCTCATCCAGCCTCTGGCTGGAGCAGGGCAGCACCGATAGCTGAAAAAAGCTTCGTTCAGAAGCTTTTTCAACCAGAAAAGTGCTGGTGAAGGGATTGTTGCAGCATAAGGGTAAGGGAAAACCAAAATGAAAAATAAAATAAAAAAAAAAAAAAGGAGGAAGATCAGCAGTGTCGTCTGTGCCGGTCATATTTCTGGTGGAATTGCTGTTTGGCTGTGCTGGGGAACACAAGGAGATGGTTTCCACCCCATCTGCAGTAGGAGAGGAGCTTGGCCACAGGAAATCTTAGTCCCAGTCTCCTTCAGCTCATCCTCTTCGGGCTCAGCAACCAGATGGTGGTGACGTTCAAGGAGGAGAACACCGTCACCTTCAAGCACCTCTTTCTCAAGGACTACGTGGATGGCTCAGACGACTCGTACGCTGTCTACACACAACGTGAGCTCTACGAGCATGTCTTCTACGCCGTGGAGAAGGTGAGAGCCGCGGGCGGCCCGGGAAAGGGAGGTGTCTCTGCGTCCAGCCGCTGAGAGCGTCTCCCCTCCACCAGTACTTGGCCATTCCCAACGAGAGCATCGGGCGCTACGCCTACGTGCGGGGCGAGCACGGGACCAACCGCTCAGCCCTCATGCTGTGCCAGCAGTTCTACCGCAAAGGGCGCATCGACCCGGCCAATGACACCTTCAACATCGACCCCAAAATTGTCACAGGTATGTGCTCAGGGCCAAGCTTGCCTCTCCTGCAGCTATGTCAGGGTCCTGGGGGGGGATGTTTTTCCTGCAAGGGCTCAAGAGGGACTGAGGGCTCCCCTGAAGGTGCTGTTTCCCCGCAGACTGCCTGGGAGTGGAGCCCCAGGAGCCACAGCCCCTCCCGCCAGAGCTGGACCGCAGTTACAGGAACTTCACCCTCAAGTTTCACAAGTAATCGTCGCGGTCTTTTCCGCGGTGTCTGGGCGCTCTGCGGCTCGCCCAGGAGCGGGGCCCTCAGAGCGGGGATCCCTGTGCAGGGAATTTCTTGCGCTAACCGGTTTCTCCCTTCCTGCCGGAGGATAGCCTAAAAACCACTCGCAGGCCAGAAACAAATCCCTGCTTGGGCAGAGAGGGATGTGAAGCCGGTCGTGCAAGAAGCAGCTGCTCTCCGGCTCCCTGAAACTTGGCGCTTTGATGGCCTGTGGCCAAGTCCCGCAGGCAGGGTAGCGCCTCGGTCCTGCTTCCCCTTCTGCTTTCCAGTGTTGGTGCCAGGCGGCTCCAGCAGCTCCAGCCTCAAAACACTGGCGCCAGGCTTGGTCCCTCCCAGCCTGGAGATCCCCCAGGGCTGTGCCCGCCTTCTTGAGGGAGGATTGGGGGTTTTCTTAGTTTGGGGGTTTTCTTGTTTTATTTCCACCTCCTCATTTCCCCATTAGGGAGCAGGGGGCTGCGATTAGATCCCCCTTTATTTCCCCTTGGCTGAGCCCAATGGGACACACGCCCCAGCTGGGAGCCTCTGCTGCCTCCAGTCTCTCCACTTCCTTCTTCAACTGGGGGTCTGGATAGGACCCAGGTGTCCAGGCACCTCTGCAGTGCGGAGGAAGGGAGCTGATAACTCCCTGCTCTGCTGGCAGGGTGGTGGGGCTGCGGGGGTTGCCCCCCTTCCCAGACAAGCTGCGGGAGTGTTCACAAGCGTCCCCTCCTGCAGGCTCATCAATGTCACCATCCAGTTCAAGCTGAAAGCCATCAACATCCAGACCATCATCAACAACGAGATCCCAGATTGCTACACCTTCACCATCACCGTGAGTGCGTGGCGGCGATCTGTGCGGTGACGCAGGGTGGGTGGCAGCCCTCGCGCAGGGGGACGAGCGCGGGCAGAGTCAAGGCGTCAGGGAGCCACCAGGCAGGCTTTCAACCGTTCCCTTCTCCCAGATCACCTTTGACAACAAGGCTCACAGCGGCCGGGTGAAAATCCACCTCGACAATCGGGCTGACATCAAGGAGTGCAAGAACCCCAGCATCTTTGGCCGAGGTAGGGTGTCGTGAGGGCACAGGTCCGGCCCAAACGCAGTGTTTGTTCCCTAGCGGGTGCTGCGCGCTAAACAAGAGCTCCGGGTGCTCCCTGGGACCCCCAGTGTCACTTATTGAGAATGTCTCCCCGGGTGTCTTGCAGGTGACAACTCCTTCCGGCTCTTCTTTGATGTTGTCGTAATCCTCGTGTGCTCGCTCTCCTTCATCCTGTGCGCCCGCTCCATCATCCGGGGCCTCATGCTGCAGCACGTGAGTGACGGGGAGATCAGGGAGCAGGCGGTCTCAAGCTGCAGCAGGGCCACCGCGTTTCGGATGTGGCCCCAAATGTTGAATCAAAGCTGTGGCTCTCCTTTGGGTGGGCAAAACTTAGCTGCTGTGCCTAGAGGATCCGGTTTCTTCCCTGCACGCAGGAGTTCAGCCGGTTCTTCCAGCGCCGCTACAACCAGAGCGTTTGCCTCTCGGACCGCATGGAGTTCCTCAATGGCTGGTACATCCTGCTGGTGGTGAGCGACATCCTCACCGTGCTGGGGACTGTCATGAAGATCGGCATCGAGTCCAAGGTGCGAGGACAGCGGGGGAGACACAGCAGATGCTGGACGCACCAGGCCTCCCGGCACTGAGGGCCCTCCCTCTCCAGGGAGGGATATTTGCTTGCCCGCAGCAATGGCAACGTTTCTGCTAGCCTGTGGCCAGCATGGAGGGGTGGCAATGGCCCCCCAAGACGCTGGTGGGGGCCGAGGAGCTGCAACTGAGGCCTGTGCCACCTCTGTCCATGCAGAACTTTGCCAGCTATGATGTCTGCAGCATCCTCCTGGGCACCTCCACGCTGCTGGTTTGGGTCGGGGTCATCCGCTACCTCACCTTCTTCCAGAAGTACAACGTGAGTGGCCTTGGAGACACGTCTTGTCCTGCTCGAGCTCAGGGGACAGTTTCTAGGGTGGGAACAGCCTGGCCCTGAGCACAGAGGTGTCCAGGTGGGCTCAGGACCACCCCAGCGCTGCAGCACCTGGGGGCTCCCTATCCTGTTCTTCGAGGGCCTCAGAGTCACACAAGGTGTTTCCACCACATGTCCGCACTGGGGTTTTCCCCCTTCCCCTCTTGCTGACGCCCTCGCGGAAGGAGGACGGCAGTTTAATCCCGACTCCGTTCTTCCGCCAGATCCTTATCGTCACGCTGCGGGTGGCCCTGCCCAACGTCATCCGTTTCTGCTGCTGTGTGGCTGTCATCTACCTGGGCTACTGCTTCTGTGGCTGGATCGTGCTGGGCCCGTACCACGTCAAGGTGCCGCTCCTGGGCTCTTCGGATGGGGTTTGCCCACCTCCAGAGGCTGCTCCTGCCTTGAGACAGTTCCCTCTCCTGATTTGGGAGGAGGTGGGAGCTGGGCTGATTCCCCTCTGAGCTCCTTGGGTGGAATAAGGCCCTGGTTCCTCTGCTCCTTGCAGAGCACCGGGGTGGTTTGTGGGGTGTCAGGGAGCACTTGGCCACTGAGGGAAGGCAGGGAATTTCCCTGGGGACTATCAGGAGCTTTCAGCCGGGTGGGGCAGAAAGGACCAGGGTGACCTCCATTGCCTCCCGTCCCAGTTCCGCTCCCTCTCCATGGTGTCCGAGTGCCTCTTCTCCCTCATCAACGGGGACGACATGTTCGTGACCTTTGCCGAGATGCAGCAGAACAGCTACCTGGTGTGGCTCTTCAGCCAGATCTACCTGTACACTTTCATCAGCCTCTTCATCTACATGGTGCTCAGCCTCTTCATCGCCCTCATCACCGGTTCCTACGAGACCATCAAGGTGAGGCTGGGAGTGGGAGGCTTCAATCCTGGAAATCGCTCACTTCGGGAGCGTATCCAGCCCTGAATGTCCTGGTGTGGCCCCGCAGCACCAGTGCGAAGGCGAAACGCCCGTCTCCCAGCTCCACGCCTTCATCGCCGAGTGCAAGGACAGCCCCAAGTCGGGCAAGTACCGCCGCGAGAGCACCTCGTCCTGCTCGGTTTTCTGCTGCTGCGAGAGGTGAGTGCCTTTTTGAGAGCTGCTGGGCACCTGCTTGAGGGCCAGCCAGGCTCTACCACCCCCCTTAACTGTGCTGCTCTTGTGTGCCCAAAGAGGAAGATTTATACCTGTTTTCCTGCTGGTTCCTCTTGTACGGGTGGTCTCGCCTGGACCACGAACCTCCAGCCCTCCCGTTGGCACCCCAAAGCAGCTTTGTGCCCATGAGGACCTGCTCGGGGCTGGGTGGGAGGTGCAGAAAGTCCTGCTGGGCTCCCAGCTCCAGGATTCACCCCTAGGTGCTGGCCTCGGGCCTCCCTCTTCAACCACCCTGCTTGGTTTCAGGGGGCTGGGGCAAAACCTCGTTCTTCCAACCGATCCCATATTTTTTTTCTTCCCCGTTAACACAAGCAGGGGAGAAAGGGGTTGCTGGGGCTCATCCAGATCTGTTCCTGGTGCCCTTGGCTTTTCCCACAGGGCTCCTCTGTCAGACAACGCGCTGCTGGTGAATTGAGGGATGCTACCACCGTGCGGTGGGCCCTAATTTGCAGTCCCTAAGGAAAGAAAAGGAGCTTTCAAGTGTTATTTGAATGTTATTAGCCAGTTTTAAACTACCATGACCAATCTTCACTAAGATTTATTCTTTTTAGTGTAGCAGCACCTACCAATCCTAGCCACGGATCATGTGTTAGATATAGACACAAAAGTTTGTCTTTGCTGGGGCTCATCCAGATCTGTTCCTGGTGCCCTTGGCTTTTCCCACAGGGCTCCTCTGTCGGACAACGCGCTGCTGGTGAATTGAGGGATGCTACCACTGTGCGGTGGGGCCCGCCGGTTGGACTCCTGCCCCCAGCCCGCCGCAGACACCGGCACACAGACTGCCTCCGAGCGCTCTTTTATTTATTTTAACGTTGGCTTTTATTGGCATCGGAGCTCGGCGCCTGCCCCGGAGGGGATGAGGCGAGATGGCGTCCGTGTTTGCCGGGGCAGATCTCGAAGCGCTGGCATCCTGGGAACTAGATGGATGATTGCAGCCCCCTTTTCCCATGACGGACTCGGTGTCTCCACGAGCAAAGCTGCACAGCCCCGGTGGGGAGCTGAAGGGTGCTTTGTTCCCCGTTTCGCGCTCAGCCCCGTGCCGGGCGCGGGCTGGCACCTCTCGTCGCCGCCTCCTCCTCGCTCTCGGCGCAGCCCCAAACCCAACTGGCGGCCCTGCCGTTTTGCTCCGGGGCGCGCCGC